ACTGCACTCCAGTCTGGGCAACAGAGTGAGACTCCGACTCAAAAAAAAAAAAAAAGAAATACACAAGTTATATCCACTATAGCTGCTATCCCAAGCTATGCAGTGAGTGGGCTAAGTAGTACTGTTTAGGGCACACACAAATGAGGAAAGCCACTGCATTCAGTGGCGGGTAGACACATATGCAGGCAACCAGAATATAAGGCAAATGATGGTGTGTCCTCTCATGGTGGGCAGACAGGACACCAAGTGGGTTTGGCATAAGTGGCCAGATTGGCTTCAGGAAGGGAGTAACTTTTCAGCTAGACCAGGCGTGTCCAACCCACGGCCTGTGGGCTGTCTGTGGCCCAGGACAGCTGGCAATGTGGCCCCACAAAATCTTTTAACATCATGTGTTTTTTAGAATGTATTTTCTTCATAACCCCATGTATAATTCCATTTTTGAAGTTCACATCCCTTAGTCATAACATTGCTTTTTGGCGACACGTACATTTGTGAACAGCTGTTTTCAGTTATTAAGCACACGCAGAACAAAATTCAAACAAGCGTTTCTGATGAGCACCTTGAGAACTCACAAAGAATTGCAAGCTCTTCCATCAAACCGACATTGGTAGATAAGGTCAAATTTCCCACTAGTTCCATATTGTGCTCATTTTTCTAAACTTTATATTAAAGAATATTAAAAACCAAAAGAAGTCTTATGTATATTCTCTAACTATATTATACAATTTATGTGTGACCCAAGATAATGTGTCCCAGGGAAGCCAAATGGCTGGACACCCCTGATCCAGACTATTAGGAACTATAGAATTTTCACAGGCAGATGTGAGAGAAAGGACATTTCTGTGGAGGAATAAGGCAGCAAGAAAAGTGAATATATTTGGGAATGCCAAGTAGTTCAAGAGGTCTGGAGCATAGGGCACATGAGGTGAAAGGAATCTTAGGAGATGATGTGGAAGCTATGCTGGAATTTTGAGGAACTTCCTAGCTGAAGCGTTTGCATTTTATTTTCTATGTAGCAGGAAAAATACCCGAGGGTTTCTCAGCTGGGAAATTAAACCCAGAGACAGAAAGACAAGTTGGTAACTGGCTGTAATATGGTAGGACTTGTAAGGCCTGAACTAGGACCAAAGAAGACAGAGACTGCAGAGGCAGACAGGAGTTGTCTAGACCGGTGTGCTGCAGCTATCGAAAGCTATAAAGGAGTCAAAGATAGCGTTTTTTAGAGCGAGGTGGGAGAACGGGGAAGGAAGTCAATGAATTCACTTGTAGACATAAATGAATTCTGTAGAGATGCTATCAGGATGTTGTCACCAATGGCCAGACTGCAGAGAGCGTCTACGTTTCATACAGAGAAGGGAGAGGCAGGGCAGCTGTGTTTGGGATCATGGACACTAAGGAACAAGAGTGTTTCCAGGATGGCTGGAAGTGTGGCCTGCTTCTTCACTGGTTTACTTATTTACCTTCCTGCTGTTTTATTTGCTTAGAATTCTCAGTACTTGACATGTAAGACGTCTTCCCTGAAAGTTGACTGAGAGTAGTTGGTAGCAGTCACCCAGAACGAAGTTTACTGTGAAGGAGAGGATTTGAGATAGAAGCATAGCATAGAGGGGAAGTAGGTATGAGAGGGTTTGTGCATGATTTAAAGAAGATTAAAGTATATTTTCAGGATCATGTGGAAGCTGGTGCATGTTGAGATGGGGAGAGGTTGAAGATAATAGTACTCTTGAGTAAGGATATTAAAAGCACAACTGTCCATGCACGGTAGCCCACACCTGTAGTCCCAGCACTTTGGAAGGCCGAGACGAGAGGATTGCCTGAGTCCAGGGGTTCAAGACCAGCCTGCACAACTTGGCGAGACCTCATCTCTATAGTAAATCAAAAAATTAGCCAGATGTGGTAGCGCGCCCCTGTGGTTCCAGCTACTTGGAAGGCTGAGGCGGAAGCATCACCTGAGCCCAGCAGATTGAAACTGCTGTGTCCGTGATTGTGCCACTGCACTTCAGCCTGGGCTACAGAGTGAGACCCTGACTCAAAAAAAAAAAAAAATTAATAACGCAGTTGGCTGAATTAAGTTGGAAAAAAGAGATGAGTTGGCAGCCATTTTCCATGTTAGGGGGTAAACAGTAGAAATTGTTTCTTTAAAAAGAATAACGCGTAGCCGGGCTCAGTGGCTCAGCCTGTAATCCCGTGCTTTGGGAGGCTGAGGTGAGTGGATTGCCTGAGCCCACGGGTTCGAGACCCGCCTGGGCA